CTGCTGTGTTAGCCATTGCAGCTTCTTGGGGCTCATGACAGAGCCCCCCCATGCAGCAAGGGGTAGTGGGGGGAAGCAGGGATCACCCCCCATCTGGCAGCATCTGGTGAGTTGGGGCTTTTTTTAAAGGGGGGAAGCTGGGACCAGGTGGGGCTGCCATGAGGGGGGTGGGTTAGGAGAGTGGGTGGGGGTTGGGGGCTCATGGCAGTGCCCCCCATGCAGCACAGGGTAGTAGGAGGCAGAGGGGATCGCCCCCCCACCGCCTGGCAGCAGCCGGTGAGTGAGGGCTTTTTTTCTTTTAAAGAGCCAGGAGCTGGGAGAGTGGGCGGGGCTGCAATTGAGAGTGGGCAGGGGATGGTAGCCAAATCTCTGATTCAGATTTGGCTGAATCGATTTGGGACAGTGATTCAAATAACTGAATAGATTCACTGTCCCCCAAATCAGCCTAATCCAAATCTGAAGCAAATACTAGCCGCTTCGCACAGGCCTACTGGATATATTGGTGACTAACCACAAGCAAGTGCTCTGAAGATCAGTGAGAGGACTCCGCCTTTTTTTCTACACCAATTTAGTTTTCCTTCTCTATAGAGATTAAGAGGACTTGTCTCCCACTAACACTCCATCACCACTACAGGATTTCCTTCAATCCTACCCCCAATCACCATGAAGTCCCACCTCTGAAAAGAAGTGCTCAGGCCAGGTAATTGGTAGTGGAGAGATTAGAAAAACTAGCTTGTTACCAGTCTGGTCCTCTATGAGGCCCTCCTTTCAAGAGGACCTGTGCCTTCATTTCTCTATGGGATGGGATCACTTGATGAGCCATTCTCCAGCTGGATCTCTGAGTTAAACCCTAGTTCATAGATTCATAGATTGTAGAGTCGGAAGGTACCACAATGGATCATCGTATCTGACCCCCTGCCCCTGGCAGGAAAGAGGACCGAGGTCAGATGACCCCAGCCAGGTGACTATTTAGCCTCTTCTTGAAGACCTCCAGGCTAGGTGATAGCACCACCTCTCTTGGAAGCCCATTCCAGATCCTGGCCACCCTTACTGTGAAAATTTCTTCCTAATATCTAACCTAAATCCACTTTCAACTAGTTTACACCCGCTATTCCTAGTCACTCCCTATTCCCCGTTGACCTCCCCTAATTAATTTATAGGCGGCCACAAGATCTCCCCTCAGCCGTCTCTTGTGAAGGCTGAAGAGATTCAGCTCTCTCACCCTCCCGCCGTAGGGTCTATCATGAAGGCCACTAATCATGCGAGTGGCCCTCCTCTGGACCCTCTC